AGGCTTCCCTTCACACTGAAGCTCTTTCCACACTCCAGGCAGTTATATGGTTTCTCTCCTGAATGGATTTTTTGATGTGTATAAAGATTTCCCCACTGACTGAAGCTCTTTCCACACTGCAGGCATTTATATGGTTTCTACCCTGAATGGATTCTTTGATGTCTATGAAGGCTTCCCTTCACACTGAAGCTCTTTCCACACTCCAGGCATTTATACGGTTTTTCTCCTGAATGGATTCCGTGATGTGTATAAAGGGTTTCCCTTTCACTGAAGCTCTTTCCACACTCCAGGCAGTTATATGGTTTCTCTCCTGAATGGATTTTTTGATGTGTATATAGGCGTACACTGCGACTGAAGCTCTTCCCACACTCCAAGCAATTATATGACTTTTCTCCTGAATGGATTCTCTGATGTGTATAAAGGTCTCCCCTGTGAATGAAACTCTTTCCACACTCCGGGCATTTCTAGGGTTTTTCTCCTGAATGGATTCTCTGATGTGTATAAAGGTCTCCCCTGTGAATGAAACTCTTTCCACACTCCGGGCATTTCTAGGGTTTTTCTCCTGAATGGATTCTCTGATGTGTATAAAGGTCTCCCCTGTGAATGAAACTCTTTCCACACTCCGGGCATTTCTAGGGTTTTTCTCCTGAATGGATCCTTTGATGTGCATAAAGGCTTCCCCTCTGACTGAAGCTCCTTCCACACTCCAGGCATGTATAGGGTTTTTCTCCTGAATGGGTCCTTTGATGTGCATAAAGGCTTCCCCTCTGACTGAAGCTCCTTCCACACTCTAGACATGTATAGGGTTTTTCTCCTGAATGGATTCTTTGATGTGTATAAAGGCTTTCCTTCAGACTGAAGCTCTTTCCACACTCCAGGCATTTATAGGGTTTTTCTCCTGAATGGATTCTTTGATGTGTATAAAGGCTTTCCTTCAGACTGAAGCTCTTTCCACACTCCAGGCATTTATAGGGTTTTTCTCCTGAATGGATTCTTTGATGTGTATAAAGGCTTTCCTTCAGACTGAAGCTCTTTCCACACTCCAGGCATTTATAGGGTTTTTCTCCTGAATGGGTTCTTTGATGTGCAGAAAGGCTTCCCCTCTGACTGAAACTCTGTCCACACTCCAGGCAGTTATAAGGCCTCTCTCCTGTATGGATTCTTTGATGGCGTTTAAGATATTCATTTATAATGAAACACTTTCCGCACTCCAAGCATTTATATGGTTTCTCTCCGGAATGGATTCGTTCATGTCTATGAAGGCTTCCCCTCTCACTGAAGCTCCTTCCACACTCCAGGCATTTATACGGTTTCTCTCCTGTATGGATTCTTTGATGTGTATAAAGGCTTCCCTTATGACTGAAACTCTTTCCACACTCCAGACATTTATGTGGTTTTTCTCCAGTGTGAATTCTTTGATGTTGACGGAAGGATCCACCCTCAGTAAATGTTTTTCCGCACTCCAGGCATTTATAGGGTTTTTCTCCTGAATGGATTCTTTGATGTGTATAAAGATTTCCCCTCTGACTGAAACTTTTTCCACACTCCAAGCAATTATATGGTTTCTCTCCTGAATGGATTTTTTGATGTGTATAAAGATTTCCCCTGCAACTGAAACTTTTTCCACACTCCAAGCAATTATATGGTTTCTCTCCTGAATGGATTTTTTGATGTGTATAAAGATTTCCCCTGCAACTGAAACTTTTTCCACACTCCAAGCAATTATATGGTTTCTCTCCTGAATGGATTTTTTGATGTGTATAAAGATTTCCCCTGCAACTGAAACTTTTTCCACACTCCAAGCAATTATATGGTTTCTCTCCTGAATGGATTTTTTGATGTGTATAAAGATTTCCCCTGCAACTGAAACTTTTTCCACACTCCAAGCAATTATATGGTTTCTCTCCTGAATGGATTTTTTGATGTGTATAAAGATTTCCCCTGCAACTGAAACTTTTTCCACACTCCAAGCAATTATATGGCTTTTCTCCTGAATGGATTCTTTGATGTGCATAAAGGTTTCCCTTACAGCTGAAACTATTTCCACACTCCAGGCAGTTATAAGGCCTCTCTCCTGTATGGATTCTTTGATGTGTATAAAGGGTTTCCCTTTCTTTGAAACTCTTTCCACAATCCAGGCATTTATAGGGTTTTTCTTCTGAATGGATTCTTTGATGTGTATAAAGGTTTCCCTTACGACTGAAACTATTTCCACACTCCAGGCAGTTATAAGGCCTCTCTCCTGTATGGATTCTTTGATGTGTATAAAGGGTTTCCCTTTCTTTGAAACTCT